TTGGTCTTTCTCGTGATCACTTTCATGCTGTACGGCACCAGGACCAGCTTCCCTTTGGGAAAGGCTGCTTTGGCAATAATGCCTTTGGCCGGCTTGATCTGGATTGCCAGCTTGGAGAGCATCTTGTGGGAGTCACAAGACTTCACTAGCCCATGGACCTCTTGATGGATGTCCGCGATCATCAACGCAAGCTTGAATTCCTCGCTGTCATGAGGCCCCATGCCGGTTAGGTCCTCCAAGCACTCCGGTCCGGCCTTGGGCTTGAAAAGGATCCACTGTCCTGCCATGAAATCCTCAGTGCCGATCTTGAGCAGCCCGCCCGACTTCAGCTCCTTGAGCTGCACCGTCTTGCCCTCCACTGACTGCACCTGGCATTCCATGGCAACTTTCTCAGTCTTGCGCTTGCAGTAGGCGCCGGGTGTGAACCCCATATCAAGAAGCAGGATCGAGGGATCCTTGAGGCTGCCATCGGGATTCAATTCCCGAAGGCGTTCCCCTATGCCACTGGATGATGCTGCGCTGCCTGCAGGGCCTTCATCTGTCTTTTGTGCGTACGACAGCCATGGGCTGGACATGGTAGAGCCTAGGATCGCATTCAAAAGGAGAACGCAGTCATGACCAACAGCTTCCACGCTCTCATAGGGCTTCTCCTGGGCAGGTGAGGCCATACCCAAAACCATTCTTGCGATGTTGATTTCTGTCACGCCCATGAGATTCAGCAATCGTGGATCTGCCATGATGTCCAGGCCATTCTCACTCAAGACATCTCTAAGCTTCCTGATGACGGCGTCGGCCGACTGTGCCTTGCAAAAGCCGTCCTTGCCAAAAACCTTTTTCAGGTTGGCGGGCGTGATGACTTGGCCTGAGCAAGCCAATTTCAGGATTGCGTGACGAAGGCATGGAACTTGGTCTGAAAACTTCGCGTCTGCTGCCAACTCATCCCAGAAGGCGGGGCCCAAAGTTCTGGGGTAGCCATTAGCTCGGACGAAGCTTTCGGTTTCCGTAACCATCCATGCTGTAGCCCCACCACTGAACCTGACAAATATAGACATGTTATTCAGATCTTCAAATAGAATATACGAACCATTATAAGTATCATTGAGACATGTGGCTTCAGAGCAAAGGCATAGATGCCCGCAAGGCTGTCGCCGCATGGCGGCTTCGAGGCCAAAGCCTGCTTCTTGATGAGCTTGTAGTCGGGCTTGCCATCTGCAACTTTGGAGAGCAAGGAACACACACGCCTCAGGAGCTGGAGCTCCGATTCGGTCTTTTGCAATGTGGCGTTACAAGACGCCTGGACCATCTGAAGAAGCTCTGGAAAGCGCCGGCCAACCTCGCTGGCAATGATCTGCCATGTGAGGCCCTCGCGGGCATGATCAGCCAGACATTTGTCCCGCTTCTCCACAAGTTCAAACGAGACATGCCCGTTGACTGAGATGATGTCAGACGCATGCGGCGAGCCACTAGCCACCAGGCGCAGTGCCCAGTTTGTGTGGCTCCCAGACAAGCTCAGCGCCTTAAGTGCTTCAGAGTCCATCTGGCCCAGCTGCGAGCCGGCAGACATCACGAGCTGTTTGTTGAACTCTCTTTCTCCCTCGCTGGCGACCTCTATGCCGATCGCATTGACGCGACTGGGGGTAAAGCCAACCTGAACTATACTCTCCAGAAGTTCGTGGACATCTTGAGTCACTAGGGCGGCACCGTCGCGGTTCTGCGGGTGCACCCCGACCGCCATGGGGGGGATTCTCATGGTGGTGAGGAGGCTGTTGCGGCGCAGGATGCTGAAGATTTCTTGGACATTCCTGACCAAGAACTCACCATTCTTGCTCCCTTCGATCAGGGCAGCAACTTGGCGCTCCACCTCTGCAGACAGCGGCATGGCTTTACACTGCAAGACTGGATGGCACAACGGAGCGCAAAGGAGCTGCGCGACTCAACACATATATAGTAGTCCGCGCATGCATGCCAGCATCAACAACGCTCTTCTGCTGCATCAGCCCTGCCGGCTTTACATGCCATGGATGCCAGCGAGCTTGGGAAAACATGAACGAACAGCGCACACCTTCAAACGCGAGCCTTGCTGCCGTGGACTGCGTGCCAAAACACTTTTGCTGCCTTGCCAGATCTCAGGAAAGACGTCCACGGAAAATTGCAATGATTGGCAAAATGAAATGTGAGCATTGCTGCAAACGGACATGCCCGCAAAACATATAAATGTCGCAGTTTTCCAAAATCAGAGCCGCATGCAGCAACACTGCACTCTCTTGCATCATGTTCTTCAGCCCTGCCAGCTGTAATATACATGCCGGCGAGCTCAGAAGAACATGATGATTTTGTGCACTTCTTGCCGGAACATCATCGATTTGCTTGCTGCGAGCACACGCAGGCATGGTTGCAAATGGCACCAACAAACAAGGTTAACAATGTTAGCTAACTACGCTATGTATACTTACATGTTCTTTGCGCTAAGTCAGCTAAGTAGTCTAATTCACATATCAGCAAGTCTGACAAATGTACCACTTGTTTACCGTCATATACAACTGCATAATAAATGACACTATGTATTTACTAAACATGATACATTCTTTGCCGAACTTGCAGAACTTACTACTTGCTCCGTGTCCGACATACCCAACTTGTTAACCCAAATT